GGAAAGATTACACGAGACAGTTCCTGCTGTGCCACAGCATACTGCTTGGCACATCACATGGTCTCAATAATGATAACTTTTGTTAGTTTTGATTGCAGTAAAATATACAAGGTACAAACCATTTTAACCATTAAAGGATGCAGTTCTGTGGCTTTAAATAGCTTTGCATTGTTGCAGTGCCTTTACCGTTATTCCTTTCCAGAAGTCTCCATTTCCCTACATTGGAACTCTGTGCTTGTCAAACAACTCTTCATCCCCTTCTCCTAGCACACCAAGACTCTGTGATCTATCATTCTTTCTATCTCTATGAGTTTATATGCTCTAGGGACATCACCACCACCACTACCACCACCACCACTATAACACTGCCACCACCACCATCACCACCACCACCACCACCACCACCACTATAACACTGCCACCACCATCACCACCACCACCACCACCACCACCATAACACTGCCACCACCACCATCACCCATCATCATCATTATCAATTTTTTTTTCCTCGAGGGCACATAGAGACTAAGCAGAGATGATGTTCTCAAACCTCTTTCCACTAAAGAAAGCTGGCCCAGCAATGTGTGTACCATGATTCTAGTTTTCACTCTGGCACTGGGTAACATCTTTCTTTGCTGCAGTGGATGGAAGGGTATATGGGGAAGATTAATCACTGTGGGAAGCAGGGAGCACCCTATGTGTTACAGAGGAGGGCTAGCATCAGGGGCTGTGCAGTGGACATGTTGATTTATTTTCCTTGGCTTCAGTGTAGAGTTTTGGGCTGAGCCAAGTACAAAGATGATGTGGGCTATCCTTCTGTGTGCTGTGAATATGTGTTACTCTCATTGGTTGATAAAGTTGCTTTGGCCTATGGCAAGGCAGGATAGAGTCAGGCCTGAAATCCAAGCAGAGATACAGGAGAAGGAGGGCAGAGTCTGGGAGACACCATCCAGCCACCTAAGGAGCAACATGCCACAGACCAGTAATGCCATAGCCACGTGGCATGCCGGAATCATTGGCCAAACATTTATAGTTAATATTAAGCCTCTGAGTGGTTATTCAGGAATTGGTGGGTAGGAGAGAAACTTCCAATTACACAGAGGCCTTGACTCTACTACCTTTCACAGTTGGGTCAGAACATTTTCTGGAGCTGGGACACTTGTACTGGAGAGTTCTCCTGGGTTTTCAGTGGTTACTTTCCTGGAACCAGAACAGTGATACCAGGTTGGCATATTGTCATGAATATGTTATGTCAGAAACATAAACAAGTATGTTTGTGTCTTTCTAAAATGTCAGGATTAACTGAAGGGCAACAAATTCACAAAGTTCTGCAGTTTCTATGATAGTAAGTTCACAGATACCCCTGCTTACCTTGGTAACCTTGGCTAAGGCAGACAGTCTCTTTTATTCCAATCTTGGAAACTAATATTAACTCTCAGATCACACATGATACACCACATAGTAAATACATCTCTTTCTATGTGTATGTGTAGGTTACAGAGTGACCAAAGAGAGCTAAAAAGCAAGGAGTTTTAAGGAGACCTGAGAACCCCAAATCTGGGAAACTCATGGAGATTCAAGAGTTTTTATATTGATAAGATAAGGAGCCCATATTAAACTGGAGAAACTGCTACTGTGAGTCAGGCTGCTGGAGGCCACAGGTCTGAGAGATAAGCTACAGATGCAAAGAGGCAGGATTGAGTTCAGACTAAGCAAGGGACAGATGGATACATCCCAGGCCCAGATGAGACAGACAGACAGACAGAAGTTGAGCGGAACACATTAACAACGGGGGCCTGGCTGAGCTGAAGCCCCTGGGACTGGCAGGAATTCTTGCCTTGATGTAGAAACCAGGTGGTCAGATGACAGGTTGCAGGGACATGGCCATTGCAACCTCTCGTGGAGTCCAGGTGAAGGAGTTCTGTATACCCTTTCCTTGGTCTGGTGCATCCCATAAGGTCTTGGGCCTGGTTTTCCTGACATGCCTTTTGTACACCCATGTACTCTAACCACCTGAACTCACAGGAATAAATTCATATGTTGACACCTTTTTCAGTCCCAGGAATAAGTCATTTTTTCAGTCTGTGCTGCTTGTGGTGTTGACTTGTCTACCTAGGAGCACAGTCATCCTGTATCTTCAAAATGGAGTCCAAAGCTGCTTGTAAATTGGAGTCTATCAGGGCAAGGCACGGTCTGAAGAATCAGCGTCCTAAATAATATGGAGCAATGTTGAGTAGGCACATGTTCACTGGCCCCTGATGAAGGCCGCTGTGCTGGACAACATGGCTTGTAGCTTAAAGTACTTGTAGCTAAAGGACAATTCTGACTCCAGCTCTGCCCGTGATATCTCTGGAACAACGCCAGGCATGTTTCAGTCTGTAGGATGTTCTTCCCCTTCCCCATGGTGGTGCATACATTTCACTGAGCTGGGTGATTTAAATATTTATCGCTGCATAACAAATGACCTCCAAAGTAAGCAGCATAAAACAAGAGTTTATTTTCGCATGCATTTGCTATAGGCTGAGAGTCTGGAAAAGTTTTCCCTGGGCTGCTCGGGCTCAGGCACTCTCACGAGGTTGCCGGGAAGCTGTTGGCACAAACTGTGGTGATTTCAGAACTAGACTTGGGCAATTGAGCTTATTTCTAAAGACCCTGGCTTGGCTGGTGGTAGTCTCAGGACCTCACCATACAAGCCTCTGGGGGAGCAGTTTACACCATGGCAGCTGGCTTCCCTCAGAGCTCCTTGTGACCTAATCTCTTATCACCTTACCATGAGTTGTTGAGCACGCAGGTGTAACTAGTGGGAGGGGATTTCACAAGAGCGAATACCAGGGTATGGGAATAACTGGAGTCCAGCTTGGAGGCTGGATGCCACACCCCAGGCCCACACTCAGCAAGCCACGCCTCAAGCTCCTGCGTTATAATGCAGGCTATTGTTTAATTCTGGGAAGTAACTGTTAGGCGGCTCTGGGGAGGGTGGGGCACTGCTCTTAGAGCTTCTTGTTACTTCAGGAATCTTTACACTCTATATTGTAGAGTCTATAAGGTTGGTGAGGGTTCTTCCCTTTTTCTGATTTAGGAATCCACAGAACAGAACACTTAGTCATTGATATTTCACATTGTCCGTAGAACAAGAGATTTTATTGGCGACTCCTTATTTTTCTTCATTTCATTAACTTTTCGTTTGGAAGTCTAGGTTTTCTATCTGCAGCCATTAAACTGCCAGCTGTCTCCTGTGCCTGTTCATTCCTGACCAGAGGCAATTCTTAGGGAACTCAGGGCTCTGTATTCCCCAGCCTGCTGGCCTTATCTGCTGGTATTTTGGGGATCCTCATTCTGCTGGAACATGCCAGGCCAGGCCAGGGGAAGGGATGGATTTCAGTTTTCAGAACAAAGTAGGAGAGTATCAGGCAAAGGCTGGAGAGGGGGAAGGGCAAAAAAGACACAGAACTAGCCTACCTCCTGATGCTGAAGCAGGGTTAACCTCCACAGGGCTAACCCACCTCCAGATGCTGCAGCAGGTTTAATCACCACAGGGCTAACCTACCTCCAGATGCTGTAGCAGGGTTAACCACCACAGGGCTAACCCACCTCCAGATGCTAAAGCAGGGTTAACCTCCACAGGGCTAACCCACCTCCAGATGCTGAAACACCAGCAGTCTTCCCCCCATTCGCTGCCCAAGGTCACTTTCCACCTCTCCTTCCCAGAAACAACTAATGACTCACATTAATTAATGCACCACCATCCTTGACTTTGTGTCCTTGTTTTCCTGACTACCCTGTGTTTCCTCCCACCCGTCTCCACCCACTGATTCCACTGATTTCAAGACCCAGCAACCTATTACCCTCCTGGCCTTATGCCTTAGCGTTTTGGGTACTCAGAGCCCTTGTGCAAGGACTCACTGTGAGGCCCCGTTAGGCTGTCCATGTTCATTCAATAGGTCTGAGGTGGCCTGAGATTCTCCGCCCTTAACAAGCTCCTGGGTGAGGTGGGTACTGTTGGCGTGGCCCACACTCTTAGCAGATAAGGCTCTGGGTCTCATTTTTTGGTCCTTATTTGAGACCGGCAGGAATCAGCTCTGTGTTTTTCTCAGACTTGGTTAGATTTTAGGATTTGTTGGTCTTTGTGGATTTGTGTGTGTGTGTGTGTGTGTGTGTGTGTGTGTGTGTGTGTGTGTGCGCGTGCGCGCGTGTGTATGCACATGCATGTGGAGGACAGAATTAGATGTTGAGTGTTGTTCTTTAATTGTTCTCTGCCTTCGGTTTTCGGGCCAGCTAGCCCCAGGGTTCCTCCTCTCTCTGTCTCTCCGGCCCTGGGTTACAGGTGTACCACTAGACCCAGTTTGACATGGGCGTTGAGGGGTCAAACTCAACGTTGCCAGCTGCGCCATCTCCCCAGCCCTTCACTGATAGTTTACTAGGAGCGTGGACAGAAGGTCAGTCACCTGAGGAAGCGACACTACTCAAGGATATATGATTCCTGCTTGAAAAGTATTCCAGATAAAATAGTGTTCAGCTTCCTAGTGTCTTTATTTAACAACCGGAGAGAAAGAGGGACATGCAATTAGTTCTTTTTGTGCTTTGAAGAACATGGGACAAGACTCCTTGGGATCAATGACAAAGTGTGCGGGACCTGAAGCTGCACTGGAGTATCTGAAGGGACTTTTTTTTTTCTTACAGAGGAATGGTCTCTTTCTTACTGAACCCTTTCCGTTTGGGGTGGGGTGGGGGGAGATTTAAGCCATATTTGTTTTCCTAAGGAAAGCAAGCATGGCCATAGCCACCCAAACCCAGACTTCCTTTGCTTCTAGGTCTTCAGAGGAAACCAGCTGGAGAGCTGGCGCCTGAGCTGCTGGATGTGAGCTGTGTGAGGAGACTTTTTTTTTTCTTTCTTCAGAGCATTAGTGGAGCTCCGGTCTTCCCTGTGGATTTGTAAGCCAACCTCTGACACCCGTTCAGCAAAACAGCATCCCCTTTCACCCACTTTCTTTGTTTTCCAGCTGTTCAGTGCGTGATCTGTGTGCACATGTGAGCGACTCTTGAAGACCGTGTTTGCTTACGCCATTTCTTCCTCAACACTGAGAAAGAATAGAGGCTCTCTGCGGGCTGTGGAAGTGGGAGCAACGGGGGATGTGAGAATGTCCTTCTAGCAGGGGACACCAAGGTGATTCAGAGACTGTGACCTAGTGTCAGATGGTCCAAGTCAGTGTGAAGACCCTTTATTTTATGCAGAGGAGGGGCACATGGCTTGCTTGAGACAGGCAAATGCTGACTAATTCATAAAGGGGATATAAATGTATATATATGTACACACACACACACACACACACACACACAGTCGATGCTCTCAGTTACAATCCAGCATTTAAGGTGAAAAGCCCTTTAATAATCACACACTCAGATGCTTAGATTCTGGGCTCTTGTATCCTCACACGCTGCCCATATGGCCAATACTAACCTCATAGAATAAGGGGGAGATCACTGCTGTTAATATTCTGATCCACCCCTTGAAATCCCACCCCTTGGTGCTGCCCTGCGTCCTGACATAAAGGCCTCATTCTAAGGAAAAACTCCTCCCTTTCCTCTCTCTCTTCTGCTTTTCCCTATCCCCGCCATGAGGTGTGCACACCTCCACTTTGCTTCTCTTTTCTTTTTCTTCCTCTCTCCCTTTTTCCCTATCTTTCTGTCTTTCTAATTAACTCTCTTCACATGGATACAGTGCCTGGCTGTGAGTGACTGTGTCTTGTCCACTGCTGCATCTGCCCAGCATGCCAGCATGGTTCCCAGCATGCATGGGATACTCTGGCCCGGCCAGTTTTAAACACCCTGCTTTTGAATGTATCTGCTGTGTGCTGTGTGCACATGTGTGTGGGAGAGCATGTAAATGCTGAGGTCAACCTCTAGTGTTATTTTTCAGGAGTTTTCTGCTGTTGTGTGATATCTTGATTGTGTTCTGACAAATAAAGCTTGCTTGGGGTCAGAGGGAGGGGCCAGCCACCAGCTGACCAAAATTAACCATAAATGTTTGGAGGACTGGAGACAGGGAGTAGTAAGGCAGGGCAGAGAGAGGATCTCGGCGATTTTGGTTGGAGGAACAGAAGAGGTAAGAAGCAATGGGCAGCTGTTCCGGGTTCTCTGATCTTTCAGGTTCTTACTCCAATATTTGACTCCCGATTTTTTATTGATAAGATTAATTAGAATAATGCTTCATTCCACTTTGCTTTTTGAGACTTCTTTCATTGGCCTGGAGCTTGCTGAGTAGGCTAGCCTCAAGGATCTGCCTGCTTCAACCTCCCTGACCAAGGGATTACAAGCACCCACTATGATGCCTAGCTTTTTAATGTAGGTCCCCATGCTTGTGTGGCAAGCGATTTTTCCATCTAAGCTGACTCTCCAGCCCTGGGGATATGTTTCAATTAGAACTATATAGAGTTAATAAATTTTCATTAAAAAGGTATTTCTTGGGGTAAAGTTCATTTAGCTTTGAACGATTTGTTGTAGAACACCTAGAAACCTTTCATGACTACAAAGAATGTGATTTTTCCCCCCTGAACATAAGTATTTGATACTAATATCTGATCCATAGGACAAATGTAGGAAGATGCTTATTTGAGCTACAGGAGAGACATCTAAGAAAGATACATATAAATATAATTTTCAATGAATGAAATAATACTTTAAATGTCTTAGGAGGAGTTTATCACTCAAACAAGCTAATAAGAAACATGTTGATAAATACAAAGGACAGGATTATTGTAATATAAATATTTTTGGTGTTTGTATATTATAAATTATTTTGAAATGATGCATACAAATATCTTACTACTTACTTTGTATTCAAGATTGGGAGGAACTTTTTTTTTTTTTTGGTTTTTTGAGACAGGGTTTCTCTGTGTAGCTTTGCGCCATTCCTGGAACTCACTTGGTAGCCCAGGCTGGCCTCGAACTCACAGAGATCCGCCTGCCTCTGCCTCCCGAGTGCTGGGATTAAAGGCGTGCGCCACCGCCGCCCGGCTTGGGAGGAACTTTTATATTTCCATTTGTCTGTATTTTCAAATTTTCTGTACTAAACCCAACTAATCTTTTTATTTTTATTTTATTTTTTCTGAGACAGGGTTTCTCTGTAGTTTTGGAACCTGTCCTAGAACTCACTCTGTAGACCAGGCTGGCCTGGAACTCACAGAGATCCATCCACCTGCCTCTGCCTCTGGGATTAAAAGCGCGCGCCGCCGCCGCCGCCGCCGCCGCCACCGCCGCCGCCACCACTCAGCAAACCCAACTAACTTTTAAAGTTGACAATGACTAGAAGACTCAAGGTGACACTAGTGTATTCTTTACAAAGAAGAGAATATTTTTGCCAGAGATGGTAAGGCTCACCTTTTCTTCAATCTTTCATGTAAAACAAGGATATATTCTCTCTCCTGTTCTCTGTGAGAAATACATAGCTAAAATATAGTTTTCCTCATGACTTTCCTCCAGTCAAAATCCTACCAAGATATTTGCCTTTGTGTCAAGACAAATGACCCCTGGCTGACAGTGCAACCCCATGTACCCTGACTCCACGTTCTCTCTCAGGTTTTCCTAAGTCGATAATGCTGCATTCTAGCCAGGCTTCTTTCTTGTCTCTAGTCCTCTTGTCCCTGTGTTCTTTTCTGTCTCAGTAACCTTGTCTCCCGGCCCTTTCACCCCTCCCCACCCTCCACACCCATTGGAGTGCCTTTTTCTCTTTTTCTAAACTCAAGGCTGTTCTTTTCCCACACTGGCATTCCTCATTTCTGATTGCCTAACAGTGGCTCCAGTCTGTGCTACAACATTCAGCAGTTCACTGTGCTTACCTGGGTTTGAGCCTCCCTGCTGACTAGCTGAGGGCAAATGAGGTTGGGGGCTGGAGGGTTTGAATTCCTGGAGGTTAGAGAAGGTAGGCCAGTCAGGTGCGAGGTGAAAGGAGGATTGAGAGATGGTGATGGCATTTGGACTTGGTGTAGTTTCCTGTTGGACTTAGGGCTGTTATTAAGTCAAAACAACCAAAATACCTGCCAGGAACAACGCAAGAGAGGAGGGCGTTGGCTTCATTCATTCTTGTATGGTGATGTTAGCCGTCCAGCAGTGAAAGCATGTCAGTGGACGCATGGGGCAGCTGCTTGTTCAGACCCTAGCAAAGAAACAGAGAAACAAACTGGAACCATGTTCGAAGACCCATCCCTGGTGGGCTATTTCTGTCAGACAGGTCACACCTTCTGAAGATGCCACAATCCTCAAAATAGCACCAGAAACTGGGGACCAATCACTGAAGACTTAAGTCTGTGGTGGACATGCAGATCTAAACCATAACAGACCTTATGGAGTCTGCCTGGGCTGGAGACAAACTGCCTCAGCACTGGGGCGTTCTCTCTAAGTGTATCCTGAGCATGACAGCAAAGCTGGACGTTCTCCTGGGTCGTTTTGAAGAACTCTGTTTTATTAACTATTAGCAGTGGTACAGGTGGATTCAGATCCTTTTGTTTATAACCAGAAGAAATTTAAAATGGAAGCCAGTTAGGAAAAAAGAAAAAGTAAGTAAACAAAACAAGAAACAAAGCCTCAAATTTACCAAGAATATTTTTTTGGTAAATAAAATACCAAATTTACCAACAACTGAATAGCCAGATTGTAAGACTGCCACGTGGCTGGAACTTGACCTCCACCCGTCACTTTTTCTCCATCAATAATCTCTGCTTGGCTTCGGCACGTTTTCTTTCTCTAACTGCAGACAGCCTTCCTACACATGGCTGAATATCAGTTACTAAAAAAATTCTAAAATTATTTTACTAAATTTACTAAAAAAGCAATTTCTTTTTGTTACTGTCCAGAGAGTGATCAGTCCTGCAGTTTGCATCTTTCAACCTCCATTCCCTGAAAGACACCGAGTCTTATTCCAGTTGAGAGGTTTCTGAGGAAGGGCTCTGATTGGCCCACCTTGAGTCAGGTGCCTAACCCTCTCTATTCAAATACAGGGTAGGGGGAGACAAAAACCATTCCATTGGATAGGGGTAGTGAGAGGTTCCTAGCAGGAGAGGATTCAGGGCAAACAATCCCATGGGGGCCCAATAGGGGAGATGCTCACTCCAGGCATATCAATCCTAGTGTTTGGAAGCTGGATGACCATGGTCGAGGATACCACCCTTTCTATGGCACAACATGGAGTCTTTATTGAGAGTATCTCTCGGGGGAGGGAGCTGATAATTGTTGGACTGACCTGTAACACAGAAAACCATCATGTGTTCCTGCTCTATTGACCCTGGTGCTTCTAGCTCTGTCCAGACACTAGCAACCTTTACATTTCTCTGCTCTGCTGAGAACTGCTCATGACTTGAACTCTTGTCTGGGCCTCCAGGGGTTGCTGAGTCACTTCATTTCCCAGAGGGACAATAGTGAAGTCACCACGGTCATCAGGTCCCCAGCAACCTAAAGCTGTCGATGGAAGGTTTCTGGGAAAAAGCACAAGAAAAAGAGTGTGACACTGTTTCTTTGAAGGGAAACTGTGAACTCACCTGTAAAGGTCAGTGGCTTGGTGGGGAAGCCTTAGCCTAAAATGCTCAACTCTGGAGAGGCTCCCCCGCGCCGCCCCCACCCCCAAGGCCAGGGGGACCGATGTCAGTAGATCTTCCCTGAAGCAGCTGGAGAGTGAGCTGCACATGAGGAGGCAGTGGTGAGGAAGGTGTGGCCCAGGGCCCAGCGAACATGTCCCCTGTTCTATTTCTGCGTGCTCACCCTCCCTTCTGCAGGTTGCTCTGAGTTCCCCATCTGCTCGCCATGGCTTGCCATGGCTTTTGGCTTTCACTGCCAGCAGCTTGCATTTCATTTAGGATTTCCAGCCCCCCCACCCCCTTCTCTTTTGTATTGTTTGTTGGGCTCTCCAAGAATCTGCTGGGCTTTCCTTTGAGCAATTTTTTTTTTTTTGTTACTGTCCAGAGAGAGATCAGTCCAAGTGAGGCCAGGCAGTCTGAGCTCCACACCCTTTCCTGGCACCTGGCTCCACACTCAACCGCTCAGCCCCCTCCTGGGTATTGCTGTTTTCTTCTCTGATCCCTGACCGAGCTCTGTAGGTCTTAATGTAGACCATATTAACATGGCCTGTTTACTCCTCATACAGGGTATGACTCATCTTAGTGCCTGTAGCAAGCAAGCAGAGGCAGCTCAGAGGCATTTGTCCTGTGCCTGGGGGAGGACTCACTTACATGCCTGGCTGGGAGAGTGCTCTTATGCTTAGCTGTGGCCTGAACCTGGCTTTTCTCTATCTCTCTTTGGACTCAGACACAAAGTCACCACACTCTTTCCTGTCCTCTTCTCTCATCTGTTTCACTGGCCAGCCAAAGAGAGAGGGGAGGAGGGGCGTAGAGAGAGACACACAGAGAATCTGAGAATGTACTAGTTAAGAATGTGGCTCCTGAACTTAGACTATTTTGTTTGTTTGTTTTTGTTGTTGATCTTCTGAGATAGGTTCTCACCCCATAGCTCAGGCTGGCTCATTGAGTGGCCCAGGCTGGAACTCATTGCTACACTCTCCAGCCTCATCCTTTTGAATTCTAGGATGACAAAGCTGAACCATCATGTCTAGCTCTGAAGGCCGGTCCCTCATGTCTTCCAACTGTGAGGCTGTAGCAGCTAATTTTACTGCTTTGTGTCTATCTTCTTTATCCATCAAGGAGGAATACTGACAGGCCCATCCTCCTGAGGCTGGAGGATGGATGTGTTGATACTCGTACCCTATAGTGCTTTGGAGCAGCATGCAGGACAGAACAGACATTCTATAAGTGCTTGGCTGCTGTTATTGAATCCAGGAAGCATCTTTTGACGATGTTCCTTCTGTGTTCCTGGTCCAAAGTCTGACTCACATAGGTATCAGTTTTATCATGGTCCACAGCCAAATTTTGTCAATGTATACTTCTAATTGGCAACTCTGAGCTATACCCTAGAAACTTTCAGTCTTGTTCCTTGGCAAATGTTTGCATCCCCTTACCTACTTCCCAGTCTTTCTTTAGTATGGACTAAAACCTTTCCCTTTTGATGGTCACTTGGTGTGGGAGTAAGAGAATAAGGTGTGTGTGTGTGTGTGTGTGTGTGTGTGTGTGTGTGTGTGTGTGTCATTTGTTTTATTTTGTTTGTTTGAGACCGGTCTCTACATAGCTCTGGCTGTCCTGGAACTCACTTTGTAGACCAGACTGGCCTCAGATTCACAGAGATCCATCTGCCTTAGCCTCCCAAGGGCTGGGATTAGAGGTGTGCAATGCCAAGCCCAAGTGGGACTTTCTTTAATAAGGTCTAATTTGCTAGACAAAGAGTTGGCAAGCTTCCTTCGTAATGGACAGATACTAAATGTCTTAGACTATGCAGCCTGTTATGGTCTCTGTCATTTATCTTCCTCAATTTCCTCCTCTCTTCCTCCTATTTATGCTTTTAGAATCCTTTAAGGGGCTGGCAAGATGGCTAAGTGGTTAAGAGCATTGGCTGTTCTTCCAGAGGACCCAGGTTCAATTCCCAGCACCCACACGATAGCTCACAACGGTCTATAACTCCAAGATCTGACACTCTCACACAGACATACATGCAGTCAAAATACTAATGCACATAATAAAATCCTTTAAAAACACGAAGAACTGCCGGATGGTGGCGCCCACCTATAATCCCAGCACTCAGGGAGGCAGAGGCAGGAAGATCTCTGTGAGTTTGAGGCCAGCTTGGTCTACAGAGTGAGTTCCAAGACAGCCAGAACTACACAGAGAAACCCTGTCTTGAAAAACAAACAAACAAAAAACCAAAAAAGAAAGAGAGAGAGAGAGAGAGAGAGAGAGAGAGAGAGAGAGAGAGAAAAGAAAAAGAAAGAAAAAAAGAAAATTAGGAGAGGGATATGGTATAAGAATGTCAAAGAAATTAAGGATTATTTTTAAAATATGAAAATCTATCCTTAGCTTGAGGAACTTACTAAAATGGCCACAAGGTCTGTTTGGCCCTCAGGCTGTAACTTGTTGGACTCCTATAAACACCAGTAGACTCCACTAGGGCAGGAAGAGGTCTATCTTGTCATTCTGTGGTCTAGTTACCAGCCGGCACACTGGTAACTAGAGGTCCCCCTTTTAGTAAATGGAGTAAAGATTTCCTGGCTTAGAGCTCAAAAGACAGATGCCTATGTAAATTCTACTGTGAGCCGAAGGTCCCCGGGGCTTAGGAAGTTTATCTTCTGCGCCATCTCGGTTAGCTCAGAGCACAGTCATTTTTCCATGCATTTGCCCCAGTCTGAGTACCTGTTTGCAATTGCCACTCCTTTCCTCAACCAAGAACAGAGCCTACCCATAGCTTCAGTTTTACAATCAGCTCTGCCAGAGGTGTGCTGGTAAATATTTAACAACCAGATGCTCAGGCTACTTAGCAAGCGGTCCCTGATCTATAGCAGTTTCTAGTTTCCACAGTATAAACACTTTTGCCATGGCCGGTTTGCAGCTACGAACACATGATCGTATCTTCCCAGCTGCAGAGTAGCCATAAACTACCCACGCCCCCACCCCCCACCCCGTCCTAGGCACTCTCATATCCCTAAGGAACGCTGACAGCCAGGGAGAAAACATGAGTGAAATCTTACTTCCCACCACCTCAGGACCAGGCACTTCTCTGTGGTGGGGAGGGTGGGTGCCATTATCTTCCTCTCTCAGACTTCCTGGATGTCAGCTTTTGCTTGCTTTGATCCCCAACCCCTGACCCAACAGGTTCCCAGGGCTCCTTGTTGAACAGCCAGCCCTAAACTTCCTGACCCACCCCGGATTCCGGGTTCTTAGATATTCTGAGCTCAGAGAAGAATAGACACTCTACCTCCTGCAGGGGCTTCTGTTTTCTAGTTGTGACCGGCTGGGCCACCCGGCCCAATTCTCTCAGCAGGCTTCTCTGGACTATCAGGACTTAACACCTATCCTGCTGGCTGGGAACTTAGTTCCTGCCTCAGTTTCTCTTTCACTGTCCTTTACTCCTGTCTAGTTGACACCATTTCCTGTCTACATTATTCACTTTTTTTTTTTTATTCACAACTGTGTGTTAGCCTCTGTCTCGCCAGTGAACAAAACATATGAAAGATTCTATGTCCTTGAGGGAATTTTCAGACTGAAGAAACATTCTAGAGCATAGACAAAGTCAACAAACACTGTATTACTCAGGAAGAAGAAAATGATGTAAACAATGAGCAGAGACTGGTGAGTTGACCCTGCTGATGGGAGGCAGGTGGCTGTAACAAGCAGTCTTACTGAGTAAGAACATTGGGGCTAGGCTTTTTAAGTCCCATGGTCCTGTACTTCAAGCCATAACCTCCATATCTATACATGGCAGCCACCTAACGCCAACACTTGGCTCTACTGATGTGCCTGTGAACTTCCTTAATGTCATAATGCCCATAGAGGGGCCATTTCAATAACAGAGTGGCAGAGAGTGCTGTGGCTCTGTCCCTGGTCTTTGGGGTAGAAAATCTGAATTGAATCTTGGCTTTATGGCTAACTGGGGCAGCTGTAGAGGCCTGTGGTTTACCTCCTCTAGACAATAGGCGTCTTGGGGGTAGAGACTGAATTAGTCTCTTTCCCTGCCATAGCCTATTGCCCATGTCTCACCCAGAACTACAGGGTACATCGTGGGTATCATGTTAATACAGCATTTGCTAAATAAATGAGTTCAAAGCTATGTCGTTGGTTTTCTTATTAACTCCATTATTACAGGAACATTACTTAGTCTTTCAAGTGTTCAATTCCCCAAGTATAAAACGGGCATGCTAATCACAATAATGCCAGTACTTGCTTCTAGAATTACTGTGAGGGTAAAACTGCGATAATTTATAATGCATATAGAGCCCTTGGCACGGTGCCTACAGAATATGTCATGTGCCCACTCCATCTTTGTTAGCAGTGATCACTGGTCATAAGGGTCAGTGTGTAGAATCATGTGTCCTCCAGCCTAAAGAAATCCTCTTTCCTTCCTTCCTTCCTTCTTGTTTGTTCCTTCTTTAAAGTGTGTGTGTGTGTGTGTGTGTGTGTGTGTGTGTGTGTGTGTGTGTGTGTATGTGTGTATGTGTGTATGTGTGTGGCTGTGTGTGCACAAGTTTATGAGTGTGTGTGTGTTAGAGGACAACCTTGAGTGTCATTCTCACAAATGCCATTTATTCTAGACTCGCTGCACGTCCATTTCCTTTGAGACAGAGGGTTTTTTGTTGTTGTTGTTGTTGTTGATTTGAGTTCACCAGTTAGGCTGAGCTGGCTGGCCAGCAAGGCCCAGAATTCCGAGTGTCACTGCTTCCTCAGCACTGGTATTACCAGCATACACTATCATTGCTGGCATTATTCTGTGGGCTCTGGGGACTGTACTCAGGTCTATGCTTGTGAGACCAGCACATTATCAACGGAACTATCTTCCGAGGCCACTCTTATGAACTGGCGCCTGTTTTCTTAATAACTTAATCTTGTCAACCAAGCCCCCAGTGCTGTAATGTCTGAGGGTGTGAGTGGGAATGTGTGGGTGGCAGAGAGCAGGGAGAGGGGGAGCCGAAGGGACCCGGGCCAGTAGAGTGAGCTCAGGAATTAGGATAGAGAGCGTTACTGGGATAGCTAGCACAGCTAGGGTGAGGCAGTTTGATTAACAGACAGGATTGAGAAGAGGTGGTGAGCAACCACACGATAATGTAAAGCAAATGGTAAACGCAGCATTAGTCAAGATTGAGAAGCGTTTCTGTTCTGAGGTATTAGTATTGGGTATTGATATTGAATATCCCTGGTGCATCCATGGCTCACATCGAGGTTCCTCTCTCATCTTCAAGTCCATGTTCCCTCCACGCTAATAAAGCTAGTACCCAGCATTTCTCAGCTAAGGCTCTTCTTCTCTGTCTGAGGAGCAAGATGTTTCTTTTGTCTCCTGAGTGCTGAGCCAAGCCAACTATTTTCCGGAATGCTTGGCGTTTCTCAAAGTCTGCTTTTGCCTTGACTTCCTTCACAGCCTGGGCTCAGGCAGAATTGATTCTCATCCTGAATCCCCTGGCATTCTCTGGAGTTGAGTCCCTCCCTCTGGGGTTGCCTTCCACTGGTCTCTCTTGTTTGGCTTTCACAAAGGATTCAGTGTGGCTGAGGAACCCCTGTTCTTTTCCACTGGGGTGACAAAGGTGTCACTTGCTAACACCTTGGGATATAACTGTCATTTTTGTCATTCACAGTGAGTGTAGACTGGTCCTTGAGTACCGCAGCACAGAAGGCAGCATCCTGATCAAAGGAGGCCAGGACGCAGGTGCTTCTCCCTACCAAGTTCCTGGATGGAAGCAGATGTTTGATGAAAGTCAGCACCACCAAGATAGCTGCGAGCATTTATTCTAGACTCGCTGCACGTCCATCCTGGTGATGAGGGAGACAGCATTGCTGTGCAGAAAAGATAATGACCCTCATTAGCATCTCTGATTATTTCATGAGAATTGGCTCATCCAAATGGCGTTCTTTTTCCAAGGGGTAAGAACATGGAAGGTTTTTGAGACACAGCACCATGTTGCTTTCTAGAAAGGCTGTCCTACCCACTACAATCAACTATGCCCACTTTTTAGTACTTGGATTATTTACAAAGCTTAAATATATATATTTATATATATTGTATATATATATACACACACATATATATACATATATATGAAATTTGTCAGTTTTTCAATTAATTGGTAGGTTGAATATAAATATTTGGTCACTATTAGATTTGAAGGACTATTAACTAGCTTTTTGCTGTTGTTGTTGACTTTTGACATTTATATTAAAGTCTCTCTCTTTCTCTGTCGTGTGTGTGTGTGTGTGTGTGTGTGTGTGTGTATACATGTGTGTTTTTGAGATGAAGCCTTATGTAGCGAAGTCTAGCATTGTATTTGCTGTATAGTTAAATTTCAATACAGTAAAGTTTGTATTTTCTATGTATAGTTTTGTGACTTGGGGCATATAAATAGGGTTGCTAACCTATAAACACAAGCAGAATATAAATGGCCATCTTACTCCTTAAATACCCGTATGTTTACCTCTGTTGTAGGGAAACCCTCTGCCAGCCCACAGACCCTGGAAACTACTGACTTATCTTGTGTGCCTACAGGTTTTTCTTCCAAGAACAGTATGTCTTTAACAGAGCAAACAATATTTAAAATCCAGCTTAATGTTTATCTTTAATGTGTATTTGTTATATTAAAAGTTCTTTGCATAATCTATAGTCACAAATCTTTTCACCTATGTTTTTCCTATCTAAGAGCTTTGCAATTTTATTTTTTTAACTTTGAGTATATAGACCATTTTATTAAATTTTGCATAAGGAGTAAGCCATAGGTCAAAGTTCACTTTAATAAAAATGTGCATGTCCATTTGCTAGAAACTCCATATATATATATGTATACACACACACACACACACACATATATATATATGTATATATATATATATATATATATATATATAATTATCTTTTCACCCTTGCCAAGATCAATTGGCCATGTGTGGAGATCTATTCTGATCTATTTTGTTCTTCTCTATTCTGTGTACTATACCTAGTGTTACATAGCATTGATTTTATTTTTGCCTACGAGAGCATGACAAATGGAGTCATACAGTATATAAAATGGGGAGTCTATCTTTTCTCCTTTGGAATGACTGCCCTTTACAATCAGTCAGATTGTTGTGCATTTTACTCTTTGGCTCATTTTTATTGTTTGGTGTTGTCTCATGGTATGGATTATCAGAGTTCATTTAAGCAGCAACTCAAAGTTGGTTTGGATATTTTCCTTACTCTTTTCTTTTCAGAATCGGCTCGTAAGTATCCGTGAGACTTGAGCTCTTGATAATGTTTAGATGTCCATAAGTCTACAGATCAATTGGGGAGAATTGTTATATTATTAATATTGTGTTTTCCAATATATGAACATGGTGTATCCATTCATTTAGTTCTTTGTCTACATGTTAGAGCTTTTAGCTTATACCTGAGCATTTCATGCTTAGAACTGTTAATTGTATTGTTTCTTTTCAAATTTTAGTTTCAGATTCTTCATTGGCGGTACAAAGAAGCAACTGAATCTTTGGTTACTGCTCTGATTCATATTTGTCCCTCTTGGAAGCTGCCTTCCATGTCAGGATGTCTTGGCTGTCCACATGGAGATGGAGGCCAGGTGGAAGAACACCGATGTGTCCCAGCTGAGAGACAGCACCAACTGACAGATGTTTGAGTGAAGCCACCTTTACGTTCTAGCCCAGGCTGAGCTCTCAACTAAATGTAGCCATGTGAGTGAGTCCAGCTGCCGTTATGTGGAGCCTCTACAAGCGCAGAGAAGCCACAAATTATAAAATAATACACCTATGTTATTTAAAGCTATTTAATTTTGGGGTGATTTGCCATTAAACAGACAACTGGTACACAGCTTAGCCACTTCTCCTTAGCCCAGCTCCTGACTCCATGCTCATGAGCACCATGCTTTGATATTTCTTCCAGTGTCCCCTAAATGCTAGTCAGACTTAAGTCTTGGGTCCTCAGGACTCACGGCAGGCAGCAGAGTGCAGCACTTTCTCCCACATGTCATCCTCCATAGTGATGTGATCCACACAGCTTGTCTGTCTGGGTGAACCTGTGTTTAGCAGTGTATGCTGACCCTCACCGTGGACTGGTTGCTTATTTGCCTAAAAACTGCCTATCTGTCTGGCTTCTGGGCCTCCAGCACAGCACCCTCTCTCTCCCTGACTGAAACCCCCAAGAACAACCATTTTCAGTCGCCTCCTGACACCCTGAAATGAGATCCTGTCCTCTGTGGGGCCCACTTTGCACTGCAAATGATGATTGTTTCCTGAACTTCACAGCTGTTTAAATCTGGCCTAGAACCTGTAGACAGGTTTGGTTTTATCTGTTTAATAAATAACCAGGAACCCCGGGGCTTTACATCAATTAGTGAAAAAATGTTTTTATTAGCTGTGCAATCTGGGACACCTTTCTACACTCCCTTTTCTTCACTAGTAAAATGAGGACAGTGCCGGATCCCTTGACACATGGGCACACGGCAACAGCTTAAGAGTAGCGATTGCAATTAATGTTCACACTCAGAGTTATAAGGTACCTTTAGGAGTGATTTAATTCACGACTTCCATTTTCCAGTGATGGAAAGTGAAGTCCAGAGATGCCAAGTGGCTTGTCCCAAATCACATGGCATATTACTAGTTGAACCAGGACTGGAAGATTAATTTCCCAACCTCTAATCTTATAATTTTCCCTCAGCAACACAACTGTTTAGGAGGTATTGGAAACAAAGAGGAAAAGAAAGTACCAACTATGAAGTAGGTTCTTCTGTGTGTGTGTGTGTGTGTGTGTGTGTGTGTGTGTGTGTGTGGTGTGTATGTGGTGTATGTGTGTATAGTGTGTGTGTTTAGTGTGTTTGTATGTGGTGTGTGTGTTTAGTGTGTTTGTATGTGGTGTGTGTGTGTAGTGTATGTGTATGTGGTGTGTGTAGTGTGTGTATATGTGGTATGTGTAGTGTGTGTGTGTGGTGTGTGTAGTGTGTGTGTGTGTATGTGGAATGTGTGTATGTGGTGTGTGTGAGTGTGTGTGTATGTGGTGTGTGTGAGTGTGTGTATATGTGGTGTGTGTGTAGTGTGTGTATATGTGGTGTGTGTAGTGTGTGTGTATATGGTGTGTATATGTAGAATGTGTGTATGTGGTATATGTGAGTGTGTGTGTATGGTGTGGTGTGTGTGTAGTGTGTGGATATGTGGTGTGTGTAGTGTGTGTGTATATGGTGTGTGTATGTGGTGTGTGTGAGTGTGTGATGTGTGTGTGTGGTGTGGTGTATGTGTGCATGTGTATATATGGTGTATGTGTGTTGTGTGTGTGTCTGGTTTCATTTCATTTCCATAATAATCTCATACTTTATCATCTTTCCTAAAAAGGTGAAGATATTGGGACTTAGAGAAATTAAACTCTTGTCACAATCCCTGGACTACAGAATATGAGCTTCAACTCATGCCTATCTAAATTCTGGACCAGCTCATGCTCCAGCCCTGCACCTCCATCATGGCATGCCTTTCCTGGGTCAGCCCTGGGAGCCTGAGAAGCAAAAGAAAGAAGCATTTCTGCTGTGCCTGGCACCCCCGGGCTGTGTTCCTCCTTCGTCCTCCAAGGCATTGACTATTGTGCAAGCAGGAACCTTTCATCCCCGCTTCCACACAATCCCTTTAGCTGAAACCAAGAGGCCAGAGCTTAACTGGAATTCTGCAAAACTGGCATCGAGGGGCCTGGCGGGGGCTTTGGGCAGTCACCCTAGACGTGATATGCACAGAGAGTGAGGCTGCTGATGCTGAGCTCCCTGCTCAGTCCTGCCCAGCCAAGCCTCCTGATCTCAGCTGAGCCCCTCATCATTTTCCTGGCATTTGCTCAGTAGGATTTAATTTTCTAGTAATAAAAACTCACGCAGTGTAGGAGACCTCCCTCCCCCCTTTGGAACCACTTTGCCACCTGCCCTTTGCCCCCTTGTGTTTGTGCTTGGGGCAGAGCCAGGTTGTTTTGTGCCCACTGTCAAATTTTGGAGGCTCAGAGTGGACAGAAAAATGCGTTCACACTGACAGCGCCTCTTTGCTCATTCCTGGCAGCCTCCCATCTCATGCACTGAGAGTGCTAATCCCACAGCTCGGCCCTCATCTGTAGGAGGTGGCGTGGGAAGCCTGAAGGAAGTGAATCACCTAGAGTCCCCTACCTGAGCAGCTTGGATGGCTGACATCTGGTTACCCCACACCTCTGCACAGCAGGCCCACAATGCCTACCGAATCAAGTGCACACTTGTGTGTGTGGTGTGTACACATTGTGTGTCAGCAGCCATGCCTGCCCGTGTGTGCATGTGAAGATGAGGTGGTTTCTTCCTCTTTGGGCATCTTCCTCCCTCTATTGCTCTACACCTGACCATTCATTTGTCTGTTTGCTTGTTTGTTTTTAAGATAGGGCCTCTGACTGAACCTTGAGCTCATGGATTGGCTCAGGTTCCTGAAAACCCTCAGGACTAGCCAGTCTCTGGCCCCCACCATGCCCTACATACATAGACTCTACCTGACTTCTTATGTGGTTGCAGGGAATCCAAATTCAGGCTTGTGAGGCAAGCACCTTTCCCAGGGAGCCATCTCCCCTGGGCCTCAGTACACTCTTCCTAAGATGTGTTTAGATCCTCCCCAATTCTCTTTCCTTTCTCTTGGGGGGTTGGGGACAAAATACAACATGAAGAGAATACAGCTGAACCTCCCCAGGCTCTGCGCCACCACAGCCAATAATAACAAGTTGACTTTGCATAAACATATATCGTTAACATTTTTGGAGGCCCGTTCAGTGCTCACTTCCCTTCCAAGGCTTGCGGTTTGACAACTCCCACCGTGCACAGCACATTATTTATACAGAGCTCGCCTTTGAAACAGATCAAACATTTCCACACTTCTGAGACTTTGGGCTTTCTGTTGTTCGCCCTCTGCGAATGGCCCCTGCACCCTGCTTCACATTCTCCAAGCTCTGAGAAAACCAGGGATTCCTCTCTGCTTCCTTTCCCACTTGGTGAGCTACTTACTATTTAAAGCTGTGCAGGGACGACTGTACCTTTAAGAAAAGCCAGTCTCCACAAACTCACACCCACCCCCTCACCAGTTGCCCACTCACTACCTATTTGGGGATCCTTGAGTCCGGTTGCCCCTCTATCCATCCTACCAGGGGCCACTTCTCTTTTCCTGGAAATGAGTGGGTCTCAGACTCAGCTGGAGGCTGGATTTGCTGGACAGGGCTGAGCTGAGGCATCCACAGGGGCTCAGGGCACAACAGGATGGGTCAGAACTGCCAGTGAGCTACCTTGTAGAGCTAGCTTGTGTGCAGCCTTTCCAAATTGCTAAGGAGCCCCCTGTTGTTTGCTGGGCTCCACCTTGTCTGGCAAGAGGCAGCTGCAACCTCAGGAATCACTATAGCAGCAGAGAGCTGTGTTGGCAGGCCTCCATAAACTATTTACTCCTGTTCTGGGAGTGAATGCTGGAGCCTGTGTGCTGTATCTAATGCTGGGCATGTCTGAGGCTCTTCCCAAGACACGTGGGCCAGAATTCCTGACTTAATGAGAGGGTGGGCTGCAGGGAAAGAGAAAGACCCCAACGCTCCCAGCCTCCCCTTCAGGCCAGGCCTTCTGTCACATCTTCAGAGGAGGGATGCGCTTTGCTCTCTGGCTCATGCCTACCCACATTTTCAATTAAAGGAGCTATTTACATGTTCCCCTTGGTGGGCAGTTATTGCTCATCTCCACTTTCTCACTGTACATTGTATCTTGTATGCCACAATTTTACCCATCCATCCTCTTGGCCTCTTTCACTCCCAGGCTTGGAAAACACCGAGATGAGATCCAGGAGGAGATATTTCCTGGACACTGCACATGATCAGAGCTGCATTCAGCGGCAGCAAATGCCAGGTATTTTCCAATGCCTTGGTTGCTTCTGAATGATCTTGGGAAAGAACAGGGGCTTCTAGCCTTGCTGATAACACATCTGCTTCCTCAAGCTCCTAAAACATGGGGCAGTTGAAGTGATTAGAAAACAGCAGCTATTAGTGCCTGAACTCACGTGGAATCTACCACTCATCTAATGTGACTTGAGTCTCTCAAGGGTTTACCCACCTGATGGTATCACTGTTGGGGTCATATTCAAGGAGATGGCCTATTAAGACTTCATCCCTAGGAGAGTGTTACATGATCACACAGAGATTGCTCTGATCCCCTCTCCCTCCCTCCATATTGGTGACATCACCCTGATAGCTGGGGGGTGATGGGCAGAAGGTGCCTTACATGATGTCTGAACATTGCAGACCTAAGCAGCATGTGGTAAGAGCATACAGTCCTTCCCACCAAGAGGAGACTCTTCAGATGACCAGTTCCTTTGCTTGGCGTTCACATTGTGCTGGGGAGATCGCACCCCATCACCCCTCCTTCTGCCTGCTGGTGTGAAAGCATCACTAGAGAGACCCCTTTCTAAAATCAGTTCCTCAGCTCTGTATAACTCTGCAATGAAGCTGAGCTGGGCACAGACACCTGAGACCTCATCTTTTGCTGCTATGGGTCTTTGCTTTTTTCCCATCCTGTGAGCAAAACAATCTCTCCATTCCCCCCCCCCCCCCCGAAGGGACACCCAGAAGCCCCACATACCAGCTCATCAAATACAGCCAGGTGCAGCTGAAACCTGGTTTATGCTTCAGTCGGGACACCATTAAAACAGCACAGGCTTTGTCCAGCTCTCTAACGTTTACAGAATCTGTTCACATCACTTTGCTTAATCCATAAAACAGCCCCTGGTTTCACGTGGTGTCTTTGTCATCATTCTATGGGGAGTAAAATTGAATCTCAGGCCAAGTTGGGGGATGGGGTTAGGCTACTTCCTTGGAACTTTTCTGTCCTGGAATATGGAACGTTGGGCTCTCTCTCTAAGGCCACAGACTTAGTTGATAGAAATGTGGATAAAGTGATTTCATGCTAGAGTTAGAGGCAGCTGCCACTAACCCAGAGGTGACAAAGTTGTGCTGTTCAGCTCCAAAGAGTCACAGTCTTCTTACAGATCTTATGACACTTTTCTGTTCTTTGTTTTCCTTGTACTCTCCAGCCCCTGGCTAGGACTTCTTGCACAGATGTTTCCGTGAGTCTCAGATCATGCTTACTCTACTGTAGGATACTTGAAGGTAGGCATTATGTGTTTGAATGTTTTGTGTATGTGTGTTGTATGAAGGCTTGTGTATGCAGGTATGCTCACTTGTGCACACACGAAGGCCAGAGCAGGATGTCAGGAGTCCTTCTCTGTGACCCTCTATGTTAATCCCTTGAAAAGGGGTCTCTAACTACATCTGGAGCTAGGCTGGCAGCCAGAAAGTCATAGCAATCCTCCTGTCTCTGGCTCCTGCAACACTAGGGTTAGAGGTGCACACACAGCCTGCCTCCCGGCTTTTTACATGGGTGCTGGGGATTTGAACTCTGATCCTCATACTTATACAGCAAGTGCTTTTACGTGCTGAGCTATCTCTCCAGCCCCTCTTTGTATCTGTTAACACCCCAAAGTGGACTTATGAATATGGCGGATGTCCAATAAATATTCATATCATTAGAAGCTATTTCTTAGACTTCCATGTGGGCGATTCTATGATAGCCACTTCTTTCTCATGAGTATGAGTGAGCATGGGAAGAAGCCACATGGAGTGACTCAAGCCAATTGTCCTGCCTCAATTTCCATGGCTCTATGTTGCCAGTGCTCCTCTTTTAGACTCACTGATACGTCTCTCACTTTTGGTTGCCCCAACTCGCCAAGGTTTCTGACTCCAATCAAAGTCAGGCTAAAAGTAGATCCACTATCTCAGTACCACTGTTGGGGCTTGAAAGCCAGTCGCCTGTGCAGACTGAATTTTATGATTCAGCAACATGCTCTGATGTTTGTTTCCCAAAGTGACTTCATCCCTCCCCCTTGACCTAACTCACAGATCTGGGTCTCATCTCTGGGTTTCCTGTCCAAAGGCATAGTCTTTGTTTAGGACTAGACATCGATCCTGAATTTCTCCTGGGACCTGACCTTATGTGACACTTGCTTCTCCCTGGGTCACTGGATGGATCTGTATATCAGTCCATTGATGTCCATAGACAGTTGTCTACAAATAACCGTCCGCCTGCCTGTCTGCTGGCCTCCCTGGGGAAGGGCAGAAGGGGTGCTTAGATTCCTCCAGTCAAGTTGCCAGTTGATTGGACCACTGCACTTGCCTTTGGCCATTGTGTCTCTTCCATCTGGCTTCATATTTGACTTTGCATGTGATGAAGACTCAGCTGTGCATACCCAGGCTGGGGTTTGTTTTGTACTCCTCGCCTGCTCTGCATGGATGAGAGATGTCCCAAGTTCTTTGTACATACCCAAGTCAGAAGTCCACAGGCTTTCATCTCAATGTGCTCTTTGAGATACTTGATGTGGAAGAGAGTATGACACTAACTGGATAAACACAGAGCTGATGATTGCAGTGAGTTTTTATTGGTTTATTACTTCTAATTTTACCAATACTCCTTCGCACATTCAGTCAATACTGCCATTTTAAATCCTTCACGATATGTCTCACTCGCTCCATTTTTACTGGTACTATTTGAGTTTCGGTTACCACTAGTTTTCACTTTGGCTGTTAGCAAAGCCCTTCACTTTTGCAGGTTCAACTCTCCCCAACCCACACTCCAATAAAAAAAAAATCATGTGATCGAATTACTGTGTCCTTTAACTAGACATCTGTCAGTAACATCTCATTGTCCAGAGGTGTGCTTCTCCCCACTATGATCTTGTGACTCACATCTAAAGGGGGACATTCATGTTCAGCAGAAAACTGTGAGTTCCAACTCACTGTCCTTTTAAAAGGTGTGTGCACGCGCGCATTGTTTACATTTACAGACATGTGCACCTTATGGGTGTTTAGAGGCTATAGGAGAATGTCAGGTTTTCGGGTGCCTTCCACTATTGTTTTCTGTCTTATTCCTTTTTTTTTTTTTT